CCATTAAAAACTTAGTAGACATTTTCGTAAATTCAAGGAACAGAAACAGAGGTAGGTATATTTTTATGTAGGTATAGTTATTTAATTTTTAACGTAAAGAGTTGCATTTCAAACTAATTTGAGAAACGGGTTTAATTCCAGCCTTAGGTAGTTCGATTTTTTCAAGTCACATATTTATAATTTTCAAATTATTATATGTATTAGTACAAACTTTTTTAGCTCTAATACAATTTTAAGTCTATCCACAATTATTAATCCACAAGTAAGATCTACTTAAATGTTTATAATAATACAAAGAAGAATTCACACGTGTGCGTCCATTTACAAATTAACGACTCATTAATTATTTATTTCGACCCAAAACATTCTTTATCTTCATCATTATTTCATTATGCCGGCCTTTCCCTATCCCAACCTTTATCTGCTGTATTAAAATTTAATGTTGATTAAATAAATTAAGGTTCTGTTTAAAATATATTTAAGAATTCACGTATTAACTTTTCAACCCCGTGGTTGGTGATACTTGACTTTTAAAACGAATTAAATTTTTGCAAATAGGCTTTTCAAAAGCCTTAAAATCAAAACATGTTGATCGATTGGTAGCGGCCTGCGTCCAGCTCTTCCGTATAATGTCGTTGGGGGTGATTTAGATACACCCTAATGTAAGGAATCTAAATTTTGCTTTGAACGTCAATTCCCTGGCCACCCTGTTAAAATATTACTCGTACTCAACCACGCATCAAATACCTAAGTAAACGCGCGTAGTTATCTCAACAACTGTCAAAATTTGCTCTCAATATAAAATAATAATAAACCAAAGCTTCACTCTTAACACCTAAAACGTGTACTATTCCCAAATTGCGTGATATCCCGGCACTCCTTGCAAATGCTTCTCTCACCTCCAAAATATTGTTCTGATTAGCCGTTCCCGACTTATATTCCTCGGGAACAAGCTCCGCATGCATAATTCTTTGCAATTTATTTGACTGGCAACACCAGGAGTCGGGATTCGCGAATAAACAAGAGCCACAGGTGCGGAGAGGCGAAATTAAATACGCAATGTTCTAAGTATTGAGGTACATAAATATTCGCCCTTTAATTTGGGAGTGTTATACTGTGTGCCTACCATGAGTTTACGTTAGGTGAGCTCGCTAGCGAATACGTCAAAAAATTATATGAAGATTTTATTTCTTGAAAGTAGCCGCTAGGGGCGCTGCACAATATGTCATACATTTAAATGTCATTTTTTTATGCAGTCGCTAGCGAGCACACCTAACGTAAACTCATGGTAGGCACACTGAAATATTTGGGTGTGTCGAGAAATCTTTTGCAGTACTTTTGTATATATTTACTTACTCGCAGAGCTAATGGCCGATAAAGCAGGAATGTTCTGGAGTAGCGACCACGGGTCGGAAGACGTAGTATGGGCAGGCCCCCTACTAGGTGGACTGATGATCTGGTGAAGGTCGCGGGTGGTGCTGGAAGCGGGCGGCGCCACCGTCGTTGTAGAAATCCTTGGGGGAGGCCTTTGTCCAGCAGTGGATATAATATTTGGCTAAAACGAACGATCTACATGTTGTAGGCACTGTACTGTACTGTACTGTATTGATAATCTAGTGCTTATAAGTCCAAAGTATGTAATATAGTCACCAAACAAACCTTTATTACAAGAAAAGCATTACATTTTTTTTCAAGTAAAATAACATGCATCTTATAATATGAGTTATGAAAGGCCTACCTAGTGGAGCGAATTAGAAAAACGAGGCTCTTCAGCTGAACAATAGTGCCAAATGACGTAGAAAGAACTGATAGAGAACGGTCATTCATTCAGTGAATGAACGAACGAACTGGGTAGAAGTATCACTAAATACACATGCTTTCATGAGAGATTAGATTTGGCTTAATTTATAACATTAAAGTACAGTTACATGATCATAAAAATTAAATGTCATGATTATAAGCATGCTTAAAGCACACACAAATGCTAGTAAGTAGCTCTTGCTAGTTTGGGACTATTCTCACCTTTCGTTCCTACCACTGCAACTCCTGTGTAGCCAGGATCTACAGCTTGAGAGCCATAAAAACCCAACCAGTGAAGGTCAAGTTTGTCCCGGGGGAAAATTAAACTGACATTGGACCCGCAACGAAATTAATCAGAAGAACATAGGAGTTCGACAAACTAAGGTTTAATAACCTTTAAAAATGCTCTTGCTAATGGCATGTTTTCTTGCTAGTAATGTGTCTGTGTAACTGTACCCTTAGAACCCATATGGCCATATAAATCATTAGACAGATACTCTATATGTGTTGCACACCACAAAAAACTGACCAAAGAAATTAGAAACTGAAACACAAAGGCGGTCCTTTAGCTAGGAAGCGATATCTACCAGACAACCCAGGAAGAGAACAATAAAATTTATTGATATCGATTCAATCACAGAGCACAATCTAAATTGGGATTGAATTCCAGTTTTAAACGTTGTTTGGTAATACGAGCCTGAGGAAATGTGAATCAGAGGAAAATGCGACCATTTTGCGGATTTACTAATACGGCCGCCAGAGGTCACCGTCTTCCTTATATATAGACTCTAGGGATCCTTTATCAAGTTGAATTTATAGTTCATTGGATAGTTCGAATCTTGTAGTATGCTAGGTACCAACCATTTTTCAGTAATAAGTATTTAGTCCATTATCTATACTAATATTATAAAGAGGTAAAGTTTGTGTGTTTGTATATTTGTTAAATTGTAAGGGGTAATCTCGGGATCTACTGAACAATTTTAAAAATTCTTTCACCAATAGTAAGCCACATTATTGCTGTGTGTCATAGGTTATTTATGAAATACGAAAAATTCCACGCGGGCGAAGCCGCGGCCGGAAAGCTAGTTTATAATAATCCTTATAACGACTACAACAGAATGGAAACACATTTAAATAACAACTGCTTTTACATGAGAATCGAATGACGCGTCATTTCGTCCAATCTTATAACTAAAACGACGTTATGTATCTATTTCTACTTTATTTGTTATTTTAAAGTCAACAAAATGCTCAGGTTACATACTTATTTACTTACCAAAAATGTGCCTATTTGTAAAACCATTTTGCCAGCTGTTGCCTACAGGCACTAAGCCTAAGCACTAGGAAATGGTTCCGCTGAGTGGCTGAAGGGCGGCATATTAGGGCGGCTTGTTGACCTCTCCCGATCCGGGTATGTTCAGTTATTTGTACAGGGCGGGTAGAATGTGAGTGATGAGCCAGGCGAGGTAATCTGTACCGACCTTGTGACGTTGTGTTATGTAATTGAAAAGTGGGAAAATGAAAATTTCTGCGTAAGTAAGTCATCATCAACAGCCCTTTACAGTCCACTGCTGGACTATGAGCCTCCTCCACTATAGTGGAGGGTTTTGCCATAATCTCCACGCTTGGCAGGCGGGTTGGAGATCGCAGTTTAAAAGATTGATGTTTTTCAGAGAGCGCTGCTGCCCATTCTCTGTTTGATGTGTAGTCCCTAAGTCGCCTCTTACGACACCCGCGGGAAGAGTAGGGGTTGGTGACAAATGTATTCTACTCTGCCGTCACCACACGGCTAGTAAGTAAGTACCTTCGTGTAAATGAAAAATCTTGATCGTTTTGACTACGAATAATCTGACAAAAATTACTTGCATTTTGATATTTACCATCATAATTTTGTAAACAGAAATAACAATAAATTCTATACTCTTCTATTGTATTATATTGTATTTTATATTATACTAGAGACCTGCCCCGACATCGTACGGGTGCTAAGTATACATATAAACCTACCTCGTGAATCACTCTATCTATTAAATAAAACCACATCAAAATTTATTGCGTAGTTTTAAAGGTCAAAACAGACAGGGACAGACAGCGGAAAGAGACTTTGTTTTATATTATNTGAAACACTTTTTCACAATTTTCACACATTTCTACATAACCTGTTAAAAATTTTCCGGTGATAAAAAAATAGTGGTGTATACAGGGTGTTAGGTAAATGGGTATATGAGCCGACACTAGCCCATGTTATCATGGTCATATAAATGGTATGGTGAAGTCAGAAATTTGATATCATCATTTTATTTTTTTTAATTTTCATACAAAATAAATTTTATAAAGTCAGATTTGTATGAAAATTAAAATTTACCTATCACCCTGTATACAGGGTGTTAGGTAAATGGGTATATGAGCCGGCACTAGCCCATGTTAACATGGGCATATAAATGGTATGGTGTAGTCAGAAAATGGATATCTTTATTTTAATTTTCAAACAAATTGGATTTTATAAAATTTATTTTGTATAAAAATTTAAAAAATAAAATGATATCAAAATTCTACGTGCTCACGGACCAGGCTTTAGATGATCTAGCTAGAGCAGTCGCCCGCCGAAAGGTTGTGGGTTAGTACATTCCTACCCTAGGCATATCGACTTTTTCAAGTGTATTTTTTTAGGTTGAGATGGGATTCGTAGAGCAAGCGAAAATTCGCGGGTTCAAGTCCCACCTGTATCTTAATCGCTTCATGGCTTACTTATTTATAAGTCTAATTTAATATTTTATCTATAATAGTAATTATTATAATTAATCCTCCTTTCTCTAACCTGTCTTCTTAGTTATAATAACCTAAACTAATTATACTTACTAACTGCTAATTTCTTACATTTTCTTACCTAACTTTCCTAACATAAGTCCTAATGTGTACTAACATAGCTGAAACCTGATTGTTATGTATGTGGCTAATTCTAGACAGACGAACATCAAGTCACAAACTTACCGCATTCCGATGTATATTTTATTTTAAGCTTGTGTGTCACCTTTTATTTATTACACCCGCTACACTCATGATAATCACTTCAGTTATGTTGAAAAATTCTAGAATGCTTTGTTATTTGGAAATTTGCACAAAATTGTTATTGGTTATCTAAAACAAAGCATTCTTACCTTGTGATTGTCTTTATAAAATTATGATTCTGTTCTAAAGTGATTTGATGTCGGTCTTGTCTAGAATTGGCCCTTTCAAACAACAGTGCCCCACCAAAACGTCACAATCGTTTCACAGACGGCGCGCAAAACAAGACTTGCTCGCACTGCAAGAAGACCTTTCCCTCCAACGCCTCCATGCTCATTCATATGCGCACGCACACAGGTTAGTATCGTCGTGATATAATAATACACACACCAATACAGTTTTAGTTATTTAAAAAGAGCTGATGATTTTGAGAGGCCTCAATAGATCTTTATAAATTAAAATGTCGACTGGTTCATCCAGGAAGAAGAGCAGTCGCTCGGCAAGCGAATGGTCGTGGGTTCGATTCTCGACTTGGGCAGTTAGATTTTTTCAAGTTATAAATTATAGCTATGAAGAATAACAAAATGAGAAAAAACCGGACCATTCCTTCAAGAGCTACAATGCCACACGACTAGGCAGACTTTTAACACCCTATTTTTTTTTCATAAAAGCAAATGTTCCACAAAACTGCATGCCTGTGATTGGTCGTGTTTCAAAGTGAGATCATTTTGAAGTTAATCGACGCGAACTTTTAAATTACATCAAAACTCGACAACACTTACGCCCGTATTCACAATCGATACTTGCTTATGTGAAGCAGAAAATCGAACGCACAGCACAGCGTTGAATAGAGCTCTGTGATTGGTTCATGTGTCACCCTGTGCGTCCACGCGCACTGCGAGACCTCATAGTAATGTTTGTGAATACGGGTGTTACACTACAGCATAAAATCGTTCGTTCGTTTCAGCCAAATGACGTCCACTGCTGGACAAAGGCCTCCCCCAAGGTTTTCCACAATGAACGGTCCTGCGCTGCCCGCATCCAGGCTCTTCCCGCGACCTTTACCAGATCGTCGGTCCACCTAGTAGGACGCCCGCCCACGCTACGTCTGTGGTCGCCACTCGAGAACTTTCCTGCCCCAACGGCCATCGTCTCTACGAGCTATGTGCCCCGCCCACTGCCACTTGATTTTAGCAATTCTGCGAGCTATGTCGGTTACTTGCCTACCTGCGGATCTCCTCATTTCTGAGGGGAAACTCCGAGCATAAAATATAAATAATAAACTATTCCAGGCGAGCGGCCCTTCGTGTGCGGGCTGTGCAACAAAGGCTTCAACGTGAAGTCGAACCTGCTTCGGCACCTGCGCACGCTGCACGACCAGCTCGTCAGCGCCGACGAGCCCGGGCCCTCCGACGTCAAGCGCGAGTCCTGAGCCAGGGGAGGGGGGGCAGGTGAGCGCTACTTTCTATAGGAAAGAAAGAAAAACATTTATTTGGTTCCAACTTAAAATATAACACAACAGATAACAAAAAGCAAGTACAAGTTAGAACCAAAATTGGCCACCGCTCAGCATGGGTCATGCTCTGGAGTAGAAAATAAAACCCAGAACATGACGCTGTTATTCTGCGGTGACCATCTTTGGAGAGCCCAAGGGAAGCGTGGGGGTACCCAGCTTCTGGCCCAAGAGAAGCATAGGGGTACCCAGCTTCTGGCCCAAGAGAAGCATAGGGGAACCCAGCTTCTGGCCCAAGAGAAGCATAGGGGTACCCAGCTTCTGGCCCAAGAGAAGCATAGGGGTATCCAGCTTCTGGCCCAAGGGAAGCATGGGGATACCCAGCTTCTGGCCCAAGAGAAGCATAGGGGTACCCAGCTTCTGGCCCAAGAGAAGCATAGGGGAACCTGCTCCGGCACCTGCGCACGCTGCACGACCAGCTCGTCAGCGCCGACGAGCCCGGGCCCTCCGACGTCAAGCGCGAGTCCTGAGCCAGGGGAGGGGGGGCAGGTGAGCGCTACTTTCTATAAGCATCTTTTTGATACGCTCTTAATGGCTAACTAACGTGGTTCACGTGTGCAATTTTGAGAACCCCTGTCTTAGGCCCGTTTTCACCATCAATCCCAAATTTTCAAGTGACCCCTATGGTAACAAATAACAGGAATTTTGTTTAATAGGGGTCACTTAAAAATTAGGGATAAGTAACTAGGGTTCTCAAAATTGCATACGTGAACCACGTTGGTTAGCCAGTAAGAGCGTATCAAAAACATTATCTAAGCCAGGGTTTCAAACTACAAGGGCTCGCCATTGATCGTTACGTCACGAGACTATAAAAACTTTGCATACAAATCGAAAAAATAAAAGCTAGCGGCACGGGACGGTGTGCACTCGGGAAGCATGGGGTACCCAGCTTCTGGCCCAAGAGAAGCATGGGGTACCCAATTTCTGGCCCAAGAAAAGCACGGGGGTACACAGCTTCTGGCCCAAGAGAATCACGGGGGTACCCAGCTTCTGGCCCAAGAGAATCACGGGGGTACCCAGCTTCTGGCCCAAGAGAATCACGGGGGTACCCAGCTTCTGGCCCAAGAGAAGCAAGGGGGTACCCAGCTTCTGGCCCAAGAGAATCACGGGGGTACCCAGCTTCTGGCCCAAGAGAAGCACGGGGGTACCCAGCTTCTGGCCCAAGAGAATCACGGGGGTACCCAGCTTCTGGCCCAAGAGAATCACGGGGGTACCCAGCTTCTGGCCCAAGAGAATCACGGGGGTACCCAGCTTCTGGCCCAAGGGAAGCATGCACCCAGCTTCTGGCCCAAGGGAGACATGGGGGTATCCAGCTTCTGGGAAGCAATCTGATCTGGGGAGAGGCTACTCAGGTTTTAGGATCCCCTGCTCATTAGACATTTAAAAACGAAAGATGAAGGAACAAACTTGCTCAAATGCATCATATTGTTGCAGGAAGAGGACGCGTCCGTAGAGGCGCGTACGCACCGGCGATGACGGCGGCGAGCCGGCGCGCGGCCGAGCGCAAGGCGGCGGCCGCCGACCCCGCCGCGCCGCGCCGGCAAAGCTACTCGCTGTTCCTCAAACAGCGAGCGGTGCTCTTCTCTGCCAAGAAGTGGAAACAGTGAACGTGACACCCGGCACGCTGCGGTTAAGTTCGGTTCGGTTTTGTTTGTAACGTAGGTGGGTAATGCTGGACGAGTTAGTTATCTTAAAAACACTCCAAGATTACAGTAATGCAGTATCGAGCGTTCTTCAGTAAAATTGAGACGGATGGCGACATTTTTTTAATGCCATTGAGTGAAGTACGGCCAACTAGCAGCGATACAAAAGGTCGAGTTGACAATATATTCTGTCTCTTCCCATCTTATGTATTTGTCGTAATGTCTCGTTCTTCCGCCAAAATATGTCAAAGTCAGACGGGTTCACCCATGACATTGGGTTTATTTACATTTGGTATCGCTTCTCGTTGGCCGTACCTTATTTTAAAGCTCGTACAGCCAGCGTCAAATAGTTCGCGACACCCAAAGTAGATTAAGGTTGTGTTGTCAACTTTTTGACCACTTTGGGTGTCACGAACTATTTGACGCTGACTGTACATTTTGCATGCGCGATCACCGTCTTATTCGGAGACACTCCTATGGAGAAATTTACTCGGTACCCAAATGGCCGCGATCTGTAGCCATCCGTTTGGCCTTATGATGTCTCATTCAATGAAAACATATCTTCAGTCTAGTTAGAAGTAAATATTTTCGTAAAGTTTGCTTCAGTCGTCCAGCGAGGCTCACTTGCGTTTTATTGTCAATTGGTTTGACGTCAAAATGTAGCGATGTCGGGTAAATAATGTTCGTTCTGTCACTTCGTATCCTGCTCCACCCTCCTTTAGTATTTTTATTCACTTATTCCTTTAGTACTTATTTAGAATTATATTTTTTATAATCCCCCTAGTTATACTTTTAAGGTATTTGACTTGAAGACTAGTCAATATAATAATAATAATAGAGTATGTTTACAATATAGTCATGTGATTTTATTCAATGATGATAATGATTGACATAGTTTTGTGGCTCGAGTTCAAATACTCAGCATTTGCACTTTTTCTTACAAATAATTAATATTACACATTGTATGAATGACTGCTCCTAGTCATGTATTTATTGATAATGCAGCTTCAAGAGTTGCTAATACATTCCCTTTAAGTGTTTATTCTGTGCATGGAGTTGTAATAATATTTATTTATGAGTATGTATGTACCTATATCTAAATAAGATTTTACTTAAGAATTTGACTCTATGTTTACATTCCATTTGGTTTAGAAGAATGTTTATTTTATGGCAAAGTGAATTATAGTAATTTGGTTTGATTCTTAATTTATTATACTCATGTATAACATGGAAAATATAATTTGTACTATTTTGTAATGATAAGTATGTCTGTGAAAATAAATGATTCGGAACTGAAACTGGGTTTCATTGATAAGTCAATAGTTAGTTATTAAAAATAGGTTTATTTCCTTCTGCTTTCATTGTTATCACAATTTTTATGTAATACACACAGTGTACAGAATAGAAAGTATAGCATAACGAAAACGAAACATAATTATTACGAATGGCCTTAATATTATGACATGATAGTAGTACAAAAAGATCAAAATTATGTATTCAACTGTCTTCTTCTTCGATTTTCGGTGCTAGGTAGTAACGAATGTGCCCAATATCCTGGATGCGGTATTCTACCACTAGTGGTACATCAGCTGACATAGATAACTGAACCTGTAAGAAAGAGAATGATAAGAATTTTGAAAAAATACAAATAGTAACACGGGCAATAACGGTCAACAGCATGAGGTAAGCTCCAGGGCACCTTGAATAAGATAATGTAGTCAACCACTTATTCACCTCTGATGTTATGGTAATGAAATGGTTAACTGGGGATAGCAATGGCATTACTAAATACTGCCAAAAATAAAAGATAAGCTGTAGAGAACCCTGATTAAGAGAGGCCAGTCTACCATTTGTTCAACATAGACATTATGGTAAAGAAATGGTTGTTTGGAGACAGTCTTCTGAAAATTTTAATGATTAAAAAGTTTCTTCAACATTATTATGGTAATAATTACCTGTGGACTTAATGATGTGGCTTTCGTGAAGTAGTTGAGATACTGGCACGAGAAGGTGAGGGTGACTGGCTCGTCCATCTCAATGACCACAGCCTCCTCCTCCTTGTCAATGGAAGCAGTCTGGGCCAACTTGATGTTTGCTGATCCAATGTCTCCTGATGCTGAGAATTTTACGCCTAAAAACAAGAATTGGCTGTTAGATAGGTCTTTAACTACTTTAAAGTTTAGTCTTCTTCCATAAAATTGATAAATTAAAAGTAAAACCTGTAAAAGATAAGATAGTAAAAGTATGAATGGTAAAATAAGACATCATCAATAAGCCAGATAAAACAATATGCACTGATTAGCAAAAACTGCAAGATACAATAAAGGAAACTCAAACAAGTTATGATATTCCAACTGACCTTCTTTTGTGCAAGATATGACCATGGACTCTCCAAACTGGGACAGATCACGACAGATTCTGGCAAATTCAGCACTTGGCAGACGAATTGTACAGCTGTACTCTGTCTCAGGAATGCCTACAAAAAAACTTATTACCATTAGTCATTACAGAACAGACACGGAGCAAAAACTAAGCACATTCTCAACTTCATATTGAAGTCTTTATTTAACAATGTTTACCTAAGTGCTCAAGATCCAAATTCATGAGTTTCATTTCATAATCTGACACTTTTTCTTGGTTGGGGCTCTCAAATACAAATGTGACAGTGTCTGCATTGTCCTGTGCCTTCATTGTGACAGTGTCTTTGTCCCCAGCGCACTTGAGAATCTTGGACATGCTGAAAGATACATAGAAGGTAGTTATTATAGATATAACTTTAGATCTAAGGAAGAAAATGTTTGCGGTCAAGACTGCATTATAAAAACTTACCTTCCTAAATTCATACCCATGGAAATGTTTCTATCACATCTGTATTTATCAAAACCATCTGCTCGTAGCGAGAGTGACACAAGAGATACGTGAGAGTTGTCCATAGCCTGCAAACATTTTAATTTAGCGGTAAATAAATACCATCATCAACAATGAGGTTATGTTATAAAATATGATCAACAGGTAATGGGCTAATAACTTACCTGTAATTGTATTCCATTGTCGTCACAATCAAATGTGGCTTGAGTGAGGAGATCTTTTATAGCTTCCAAGACCTTCTTGAGGATGGAGCTACGCAGAAGTCTGGCTTCGAACATTGTCTGAAGATTAACAATTATACTGTTAGAAATCCGTGAATAATACAATAAATGCTTAGATTATGTACATTAGATAACAATAAAACGGAACTAATAGTAAAATAGGCGGTAATATCAGGAATATCAACGCCCAAACGAGTAACGGAAAGTGAATATCAGTCGACCTCTAAAATCCAGTCTGAACATGGAGGTGTTTAATTAAATAGTATCTGGAAATAGCAATATGGAAGTAAAAACACTTACGATTGATTAAATTAGGAGAAAACTCACAAAAAGCACAGTAAATAACCGAGAGAAACAAGACAAGACGCGTTCCAGTCGCTGACCTCCACAATTTGACAACTGGCAGCGGGAAATATTTGGCGCGAAATCCATTGCTGTCAGGCACCTGTCAATATGATTTTTTAATAGGCAAAGGCAACTAGTTTTATAAATCAAACAGTNTGTCAAATGGGATGTAAACTGAGATACCCACAAAAAAAAATATATCCTCAACTAACAGTGCGTAAACTGGCATCACCGTACGTGATACTACATAGTTCTTATTTCTAATCTCTTCGGACAAAGCCCTCGCATAATTATGATAGAACTTCACTTTTTAAGTTCGTTTAATCATTAAATACCTAACAGGACCAAAGTGACCGACATAGCTCGCAGAATTGCTAAAACCAAGTGGCAGTGGGCGGGGCACATAGCTCGCAGAGACGATGGCCGTTGGGGCAGAAAAGTTCTCGAGTGGCGACCACGGGCTGGAAGACGTAGCGTGGGCAGGCCTCCTACTAGGTGGACCGACGATCTCGTAAAGGTCGCGGGAAGAGCCTGGATGCGGGCAGCGCAGGACCGTGCATTGTGGAAAGCCTTGGAGGAGGCCTTTGTCCAGCAGTGGACGTCATTTGGCTGAAACGAACGAACGAACGAACCTAACAGGAATTTCGTTTTCACCAACACATAAGGGACACCTTAGGCCTTATGGGATCACTTTAAAACAGGGGCCCANAAAACCTTGGGGGAGGCCTTTGTCCAGCAGTGGACGTCATTTGGCTGAAACAACGACCGCATACGTCCAAAATGAATACAGCCCTGGACTGTATCAGACGACTACAAATAAGAGACTTGGATTATGAAATCCCTAATTTCAGTCCTAATTAGTAGAACCAACATTCTATAAGCTGTAAGCTCACTGAATCTCCACCTTTTATGTACTAGATATTATTACTAAAAAGCCAAAGGTAACGAGCTACGCCATTAGCCACCGTATGAAACTTTCTACATGCAGCTTTGAATTAGCTCGGAGCTTTTGTGATCAATTTAATTCCATACAAAGTTACTTTTATTTGTACCTAGTGGAAAGCTCCAACTAGTAATATGCTTGACGGTTAAATATTGGTTATCGATAAGTACGAATATTTTATGTACGTGATGTATAACGAGATTCAAGTAGAAAGTAGATAAGTTCATTTTTATTAGTGTGGACTATGCGATTATGGCTATTCCTCTTTCTGCCTTTTACCAAATTAATATAGAACAGGGTATTTGCAAATTAGTTGCATTTAATTGGGTAAGATCATTTTAATGAAACCCTATTGAATGTATCGATGATCTCTACTTTACAAAATTTATTTTCTTTCTTTTTCTCTTGATAGTCAAGTCAACGAACTCACAACATCACTAGTTCCATGTGAGTTTATTTAAAGGGATTCTATAAATAGTTGTTCGAAACCATTACTTACCTCAAACGTTGTGTACTTGCAGTAATTACCTACTCGTATTTTGTTTTAATTTACTTACGTCTAATTTAGTTGACTGTCTTTTGACGTATTCACTTTGAGCACCCGCCCAAATAGCCCTCGCGCGAACAGAACCTGGCCTATTCCACTTAGCATCTATAGATATAAAAATCCACGAAATATCGATAGGTGCTCTAAGTGGAATACGTCTGTCATTTCTTTTTTTTTAATTGGATTGGCTAATTACAATTTAGCTTTCTAATATTGATACGAAAGAATAAACATCCTTTGTAGTAATTTAAACCTTTATTATTATTTAGAATTACCTTATTTACGTGAAATACCCATTCTATGTATTTTTTCATCATCATCATCATTTCAGCCATAGGACGTCCACTGCTGAACATAGGCCTCCCCCAATGCTTTCCATGTTGATCGATTGGCAGCGGTCTGCGTCCAGCGCTTCCCTGCTACCTTTACGATGTCGTCGGTCCACCTTGTAGGTGGACGTCCCACGCTGCGTTTTCCGGTACGCGGCCTCCATTCCAGAACCTTTCTGCCCCATCGGCCGTCAGTTCTGCGTACTATGTGCCCTGCCCATTGCCACTTCAGCTTGCTAATCCGTCGGGCTATGTCAGCGACTTTGGTTCGTTTACGGATCTCCTCATTTCTGATTCGATCTCGCAAAGAAACACCAAGCATAGCCCTCTCCATAGCACGCTGTGCAACTTTGAGCTTCTGTATAAGGCCTATAGTGAGAGGCCACGTTTCCGAGCCATAAGTTATCACTGGTAACACAACATGTATTTTTTAATGGTCTTTAAACTTCACTCTTAATGAAAGTCAAACAATAAATTTGATTGATCATTTTAAAGTGAAATTTAATATTCCTTGCCAATTGACAAAAAACGTTCACGAGAAATAAAATAATGTTAAAACATTTATATTGGAACGGAATTGTTCAAAAGCGCTGCGAGCTATAAAGAAATTTTTCCCGTGTATTATTTCATTAATGAAAATTCATTAAAACAATGAAAGTAGTGTGCTGAAATGTACGTGCATGAGTCAAAAATATGTTCATCGTCAAAAAAATTTAAACTCAATATATTATCTAGACTTGCAAAATGTGAATTTATGTTTTTCTACCGAATTAACTGGATACGGTAGTAATAAATGTTTTTGAGCTTTATGGAAGAAGCAAAGAGATAATTACAAAGTGAATTATGAAATTAAGTATATTAAGTATTCAGTAAGTACGTTGGTTGGGATTATGAAACAAATATATTTGTACAATATTATGTGTAGGAGAAGCATTTTATTTTCTTAGTAGTAAGTACACTTAGGTACGTAAAGTTTAGTAAGTTTGATTTTTCTCATAACTGCCAGGTTAGATTTCGATGCCCCTTCGTACCTGGTGTAGTTGAGTTATCCCCACATAAATACTCCTACAGCATTGCTATTGGTTCTTGAACACATTAGTATTTTAGCCCAGTGTTTTTTTCTATTATTGACAAAAAAGTCTTTAAACTTCAAAGTTACATAGTTTTAAAAAAAGAATTCTCTAAACATTACGTGACATTGCCTCACGTGTGTACATTTGTACAAAGGAAGCATCCCGATTTGGACCTATCTCGATTGGAAATCAAGTGGGAACGCGTAAATCTGATACGTGCGTCTCTGACTGTACGGTTTAATACGACACACCGTTCGTGTACGTCTGACTGTACAGACAACGTCAAGATGATAGCATCTTATGTCGTTGTAATAGTGACGTTTTTGCAACGAAAACGTATGGTTTGTCTGTACATTTCTATGGAATAGAAAGAGGAAAAACGCGAAAGCGATTGTAGAATTTCAATTTATGAAGTCCTTTATTCGAAATCAGGAAATTTGCATTCCAATAAATGAAGGGCTGACCCCAATTTGATTTTAAGTGTCGATTATGCAGATTTTTCGATAAGCTTTGCGTTTATGTTAAGTAAAGGGTTTTGGAATAATCGATTCCATCAAAATCCTTGCTGATTGACAATAATTTTCAATGACCTAACACCATGAAATGGAAAATTCCCGCCTTAAGCAGTTTGATTTTTTCAAGTTATTTATAATTTTGTAATATTTCAATAGTGACTTTATTTTGGAAAGAAAATGACGTCAAAATCTAAGAGCTACGAGCCGTCACCGTGCTATGTTTTATAGCATACCAACGCTGCAAACCCTATTCTATATTAAATTTTATCGTATTTGTATGTACCTAAATAATCACGCTAAAATGTTAAGCATTGTTATACCTAACTAATATTAGTTTTCGAATCTATCACTGCACCCGTTACAGCTTCATCCTTAATCATCTTTAGACCCTTCAAAACCTTCAATAAAACAATATTCTACACTTTTATCAATTTCCAAATCATTGAACCGTAAACAAAACTTTACAACTTTCACCTTTGTTACAGGTACCCGATAAGCGATAAAATTATTCAAAAGTAAGTACCTACAACAACAATTTTGTTTTTGTTTGTTCTCTCAGTTCTGGAAGTAACGAAACGCCTTCAGGCTTCTATTTAGTTCTTATATTATTTAAAAGTTGCTTGCGAAAAGCTTGGTTACGAGCTGACTGATAGTGGTATAAAGTTGAATTGTGAGAGTCTATAAAGTAAGTAAAGAAAGATGTTTTGGATTGGAAATTTATGTTTACCCACTAACAGAGTTTTGTGAACTATGACTGACTTACAATTTACAAATAATGCCTTTTCAAGGCGAGAGTGAATAGGCACTTACAGGGCAGATATTATGTTCCATCTTAGACTGAATCTCACTTAACACCAGATGCGATTGCGGTCAAATAGCTGCCTTGTTTTGCATAAAAAAGTGCTTAAAATATTATAATATATGGATAGGATAGTGTGGATATCGTTGGGGGAGGCCTTTGTCCAGCTGTAGACGTCATTTGGCTAAAACGAAAATAGGAACTCTCCTATTTTACTACTCTACTCCGGCTACTAAACCATTTCATTTATTTAGTAAGAAAATTCAAACATAACCTCAAACTTTTATAATTTTTGCAAAAGCTAATAAATAATAAAATAAGGCTCCAGGGTCAGGAACCTCTCATAATATTTCGGAAGCCAAAGTATTTAGTTTTCTTCGCTAACAAAACGTGTTTTATGAGGCATAAAATTAATGAATAAAGAATGGTTCTCTTTAATATTCCTTAAGGCTGGTTTTATAGTGCTTATAAACGTGGGTAGGTGTTTGAAGATGTACAGAGCGGCACATGAAGGTAAAAATTGGTATCTTAATGTCTTTGGAATTAATTCTATTTTGCAACAAGAATGGATAAAATGTGCTGAAGACTGTGCCTTATTTGGTACGCGCATACCACTTCACGCTTTCTTTATATTTGGCTCTGTTCTTCTCTTTCATTTTAAGTTTATTTCGTGTGTGTGTAGACGGAAGGTAAACACAGGATACATACCATATTCTGTAGGTGTGTTATAAAACAGTATAGGTACATGAACTTCAAGACTTATTTGTAATTAAGTTTGTGATTATTTGTATGTTATTGAAATCAATCATCCAATTAAAGACTTAATGTGAAAGAAAGATAGGGTATAATAAACAATACAT